CTGATTGTCTTGCTTGGGTGGCCGTTTGTACAACTGATTGTCTTGCTCAGGTGGCCGTTTGTACAACTGATTGTCTTGCTTGGGTGGCCGTTTGTACAACTGATTGTCTTGCTTGGGTGGCCGTTTGTACAACTGATTGTCTTGCTCAGGTGGCCGCTTGTACAACTGATTGTCTTGCTTGGATGGCCGTTTGTACAACTGATTGTCTTGCTCATGTGGCCGTTTGTACAACTGATTGTCTTGCTCATGGGGCCGTTTGTACAATTGATTGTCTTGCTCAGGTGGCCGTCAGAGCAGGTCCTACTGTACTGTCAGTCACAGAAACCTTCGGTATCATTATGCTCATTTCCCAGCAGCTCGAGCATGCCACATTGCGCATTCCCAATTCTTGGTAGAGGTGCTGTATTATAAGTGTCACGACATGGTGGAATCAGGCGTCGTCAATTTTTGGATTATAGAGTTGTTTAGTATCATCTTAAAGCTTTTGTTCATTTGTCTTGCATTTGGCGAAAAAAATACATATATCTTTTATTTAATAGAAGTCGAGATATTCTCGATTGAAAGAGGTGGAGTGCGCCTGGTATCAGAGATAAAATTAGCGAGAAAATGGAGAGAGAGAGAGAGAGAGAGAGAGAGAGAGAGAGAGAGAGAGAGAGAGAGAGAGAGAGAGAGAAAGAGAGAGAGAGAACGAGTGTGGGGGAGGGAGGGAGAAACAGAGTAAGAGAATGAGAATGAGAGAGAGAGAGAGAGCGAGAGAGGTGGGCAGGCCTTATTTCCCCAATCCTGATTCTAACAATAATAACAACAATAACGATAACAACAACGAAAACAACAACATCCTACTGACAATGACAATGGCGACGACAACAATTCAAATCTAAGTTTTATCGAACCAAGCTTTAAAATTTGGTTTACAATTCCATACATACAAACATACAGACTTACTTACTTACTAATCCCTTAGTCTTAGATGGCCGTTAGCCCACGAAGGATAATCGGGCAACCATTTTTCTCTGTCCTCCATTTTCAGCCTTTCGAAGGGTTTCACTCAACTTTAAACGTATCCATTCCTTGGTGTTGTCTTCCCTTCTCTTTTTCTGTCTGCCTCTCCTTCTCCCTCCTAGTACAGTGCCCTATAGGATCATCTTTGCAAGGCTTTTGATCTTTTTATGAACCCATCCCATCTCAATTTCCATTTTTTTTTCATAGTGATGAGAAGATCTTCATAGTATGTCTGATTTTGTTCCTCACTTCCGTATTATATACAATATCACACTAACACCGACAATTAATGGCAGCAATTCGCTACCTTAGAATTACACAGTTTTATATCTGCTCGGTACCTAGTTTTGAGAAATTTAACGATAAAAATATTGAGTTTCACAACATGATTTTTCGAAAGCAGTTCTTTAAATATCTTGATAACGAATCCAAATAATCTTACTATTTTGATAGAGCAAATAGAACATTTGGTTTCTAATCTCATGGTCTTAGTAACTTAAAACGGCCAAAAATGTTAGAATTTATCAATATTACATTATACACACTATCACACCAACGCCGCAATCATGGCAGCATTTTTAAAAATTGATGCCCTGACGTCACTTCCCCCCAGCTGGTGACTGTGGCTTCCGGGTCGTTGTGTGCGAACTGTACCAATGGCAACTGGAACCAAGGCAAACGCTTCTTCGCCTACCCAGGAAACGACACGATGTACATCATGTGTACGGAGTACGTGGGCGTCTGCAATGTCAAACAGTGTGCCATTTACCACAAGTGGAATCAGGTACACTATCCCAAACAAAGAAACGTGGTGCGAGAAAAATACTTTGTTCGTCATCTTTGTAGTTTTCTCTACTACTACTACTACTACTTTTACTACTACTACTACTACTACTACTACTACTACTACTACTACTACTACTACTACGAAGAAGAAGAAGAAGAAGAAGAAGAATCTTGAATGTGGGCTGTTACTTACATTTTTTAGACCCTCAGCTCGCTTAGTTTGAACATCTTAGAGACACAACAATTTAAATTTGGAGGTTAGCCTCTTAAACACATTTGCAATGAACTTACGTATATCCAGAACCGAAACAAGGGATTTAGGGAGGAGGGGGATGTTTTATTTGTTTAAGTAAACAGAAGCACATTAACACAATAACGGCCATTTACATGTGTGGCAATGGGAAAAATAATGATAGACAGGCAGAAACAATAGACGGAAGAAAAAAACTAGGACCTGAAAGTGGAGTCCCGCTCCCACCCCCACCCCTCAAGCATCCACAGAGGGATTTTTTAGTCTTTTCTTTCCGTGAATGAAGTAATAGCACCCCTCCCCCCTCAACCCTCCCCCACACACTTCAAACCACCCCCTTCAAACCAACCTCTTCAACCACCCCCCCCCCCCCCACCATGTACCCCCAGGTGGACCAAGCATGTACCTACGAGAACATCGTGCTGGACTGGACCAAAGACCAGTACCAGACTTCCCCCCACCCCATCGACTACCTGTGCAAGCAGGGACAGGGCGACAACGACATGTACTTCCACCCCCACCCCGTGGATCAGACCAAGTACATTCAGGTCAGTAAACGATTTTTAGTAAGAGTTTTACGGCACTTACAACAGTGAACGTTTTTATTTTTAGTAAGAGTTTTACGGCACCTACAACAGTGAACGTTTTTAGTAAGAGTTTTAGATCACTTACCACAGGTCAGTGAACAGGCGTACAAAACTAGAAGAGAAAGACTTTTCGACATATTATGATGTGAAAAATGTGGAAATGTGTAATTCTCTTTGAAATAAAAATGTACTTTCACCCCCACCCCATGGACTAAACCGTGAACGTTTCAAGTAAGAGTTTTATGGCACTTACAAAAAGGTCAGTAAACAAGCCCACAAAACAAAAAACATTAAATTTCAACTGTTCGATCGTTTGTTAGTTGTTTCTGTGGACTCTGTTTAAAAAATCCAAAGGGAATAACTGAGGGGGTTCATGTTGGGGTAATAAGGTTTAAGCTTACAAAGAGTTCACAAAACCTTTCTCATGGCCATGTACGGCCTCGGATCCCTCCCTCCGATACCCGTTGCCCCAAAACTTTCTCAGCACGGTGTGATATCCTTTCAATGTGACAGTCGTGGTTTTACCGTTCTCGTCCTAAAACTAGAACGGGCCTATCACGCCCTTGTAGTTAAAAGATTTTTAGACGTTATGTTTTAAGGTTTACTCACTATTTATTGAAATCTTTAAAAGTTGCAATTTCTCAAGCATATGCAAATTGATTTTCTTCATATCGATAAATTTGGCGTCCGCTTGGTCGAAATTATATGTGTTTGAAGTTTTGTTGAAACAAACTGCTGCAGAGATGACAGAGCTATTGCTTTTAACATGGGTTCTCTTTTTTTAGACACCCTGTTCATCCACTGTCAGCAATTCTTTCTCAAAACATTCCATACCAGAGAATCGCCCCTCAGCACATAGTCCTACTATACACTTTATCGGAGCACACATTTTGTCACAGCACGCCTCACCATAGCGCACATCTAACCCTACAATATTATATAATAAAATTTTGCGTCGGTGGCCCAGTGGTTAGACTACCGGATCCGTAATCGTAAGATTGCAGGTTCGGGTTCTAGACATAGTCTAGTGTTGTGTCCTTGGGAAAGCAGACACTTTACACAAACTTCCCACTTGGCTCGGTCCTTTCGGGGATGGATGTAAACACCTCGGAGGTCCCACCTATTAAATAGCCTAATAGTATTAATAGAGGTTTTAAACCTATACCATTTCACCATTTTTGACTCCATTTTCTCTGCTCTGTGTCTGTCCTACAGTGTGACGAGTTCGGAGACGCCTTCGTCAAGGAGTGCCAGAACGGCGAGATCTGGAGCCAGCAGCTCATGACCTGTGTGCCTGGGCAGCCCAGAGTCATCGGATAGAAGGCGTTTATTTTGACAAATTTAAAAGAAACCTCGTCTAAGGATTTCTGAAGATGCAACAGTTGTTATTTGTCGACCCTGGTTCTACATGTAGATATGAGGAAAATTTGCTAAGACGCCATCATTAAGTGCCAGTTCGTCGATCATGGCCCCCCATTCATTTTGCCTCTTGGATGCTATGCTCTGAATAAACTTATACTATTATCCTGGTGTTCCCCGTCACCCATCTGTTCAAGTTTTCCAGATAAAATTGCACTGGGTCTAAGCCTGCTTCGTTTGCCTTCTCTTTTTCCAAAGAGAGAGAGGGGGGGGGAGACACAGAGAGAGAGAGAGAGAGAGAGAGAGAGAGAGAGAGAGAGAGAGAGAGAGAGAGAGACGGGGGAGAGGGAGAGAGAGAGGAGAGAGATGTTCAAAGCCTTCATGTCGATCAAAGTTTCCTAAAAGCTGCATGTTATGCTGTTGTTTCCTTAAGAGGCCTACTTTCTCGTTTGATTACTTTTTCTTTCGTGGAATTTACTAAAGTCCGCTAAAAAACGAAATAAGATTTCTGTTTCTATTTTATTTTAAATATCTGTGGTAATTGCGCAACATTCACAACGTATAAAAGAGTTGACCACACGTAGCATTTTGAAACGCATATTTAATAGTCATTGAGAAGTTTCTATTTTTCAAAATTCGACTCATTTTGTTGAACCTGCGTTTAGCTATTTCTATTCTTCGTTTTATCTGTAAAACAATTGGCATCTATTCAAGATGGTTAAACTGTTGAACATGTGAGATCTTCTCACTTTGATGACTTTGATCTTGCCTTTTTTTTCGAAAATTACCAATTTTCTTCGCGCATCGGTTTCTAAGAAGATGTAACCTTGAGACTGGTTTAAAACCATTTAACTACGATAATTTCTGGAAATCTTCACCCATGTCTGCTTGCTTTTTTAAAAAGACAACACGCTTAATTTTTGTTTTGACGATTGTTGTTACTGCTGTTGCTGCTGTGGTTGTTGTTGCTGTTGTTTTTACTGCTCTGGGTGTGAGTTGAAGCTTTTTTTTTTTCAATTTCCCTCATAATTTCTAACCGCGACCATCGGGGTTTAATTAAATTCAGAGGACCTTGTAGGCTACAAACAGCAATCTACAAAGAAACTTTTATAATTAGATCTACAAAGACTGCAAAATAAAATTGACGATATCACAAGACATAACTACTCAAGCAAGGAATCCAGCAACAAACTCTCTACTTGTTCATGTGTAAGCTCAGTGTGTTTTACCTGACTGCTTCAGCTGTCATGTCTTCTTCAAGTCTATAATCGTGAAGAAACCAGATTTCTCTGCGATAATCGGTCTCATCGGACACAGCAGAATTCTGAAGCCACAAGTCGTTGTAAACTTTAATTCTTCAAATCCTTCTATTTCGCTGGAGAAATATTCTTCTCTGCGTATGTTTTGGTCATCGTCAGACATTGATGGACGAGCTGTTATTATATATTATTACGTCCCTATCAACACTAAAGGTGAGGTTATTTTAGAACGAATTTAAGTCATTTCCATCTCCGACAGGAACACCCCCCCTCCCCCCCGGACAACGCGACTTTATCAAGAAATCGTCAGTGGGGAATCCAACTATAGTGCGGTCAAATATGTGTGGCACAACTTAATCTCAATTAATATTTCTTTTAACGGGTGAATCAATGTCTTTCATACTTTGCACAGTGGTTTGTATCAGCTTGTCCTAACTTGATTATATTTTTCCGCAACAATTGAGGCTACATTTCAAAATAGTTTCTTCACAAGTTCATAATGATAAAATACTATAAATCTCCGGCATGCGGAAAATGGGATTGTTCACAGCACTTCCAGCTTCTCACACACATTTTGAATATGCATACATCACAGATCAAAAATGACACTTTTTAATGGCAAAAGTTGTTACAAGAAATTCATTTTATAGAGAACACATTTTGTACGCTAAAGGTTCTCCTTTAATCTTGAGTGTCACAAGTTTTCTCCAATTATTACTCTCTATTATCTTGACTTTTAAAAAATAGAACAGTTAAAAATAAGTCGAAGTGTTGTTTTCTAAATCACTCTAATAGATATATTTGAGCACAGATTTCTTCCAAATTTTCACACAAGATAAATAGAAAGGCTACCCCTGCATGCAATAATGAGTCAAAAAAACTGGTCAAGGTAACCTTGAGAGTGAGCATTATTGACCTGATAACGAAATAAACTCGCATTGTCCATGGTCGATGAGCAAGGTCAATTGTCATATTTTTGTTGTATTCCTCAACACAGAGTCCCTTGTTGCAAGCAGGGCAGTAGGTTGTTTGCACTGGTTTGCCTGACTTTGCGCTATATCCTTGCTTCTTACACTGGGAGCAGTCAAATGTGGCTAAACCCTTATCAAGACGTTCGTGTTTCTTTTTCAAGCGTACAAACTGATTTGGATAGCTAGTGCAACAAACAATTCTGTAGAAAATATTCAATAGGTTCTGAGTCTAGGTCTACTATTGTGATAATCCAGGTTTGGCCCCAACTATGATCTATGGAGAGTGGATTTTGGCCAAAGATCGTATAATACCTATAAATAAATTATTTATGGTCAAGGTTTTGAATCTCCTTTTCGTTTCTCCAGAAGAAGAATACGTAGGAAAAGCACGTCTATTAGTTTCACCTAAGACTGAAGAATACCAAGACGGGACAAAAGGCCTCATTTCCTGTCTAACTGGCTCCCCTTAGTGACAGCGATAACGTTAGTATACAGCATAAACAAACGACAGGAAGAAAGAGCACGCTGTTCAACTCGAGTGTTGTTACACACTGTGATTTCCATATATATGTTAGTGGCTGTTTTGCCTTATCTTTTTCCATGTAGACTGATTAGAAATTATTTTGACTGTTTTTTGTTCACGTTTTGAATGTCGTGAGTTGAGAATTAAAATAATCATGGATGGAAAGCGGCAGTGAGGTGAACATGGTGGAGAGAGATATGCGCCGGGGGGGGGGGGGGGAGAGGGAGAAGGGGGAGGGTTTATGAGCAGAAAGCAGGGGTGTCTTTTCTGGAGAGGGAACGGGGAGGGAGAAATAAACTAGGGAGATAGAGAGGGGGTGAGAGAGAGAAAGAGAGAGAGAGAGAGAGAGAGAGAGAGAGAGAGAGAGAGAGAGAGAGAGAGAGAGAGAGAGAGAGAGGGGGATTCGGGAGAGAGTGAGGGGGTATCGAGAGAGAAGAGAAAGAGAAGGAGTGGGGAAGGGATCAGGAGAGAGAGAAAGACGTAATAATATGATATGATAGCAAGACAAAAATGAAACGACTGACAGGAAAGTGAAGTAAGATTTAATAAGGAAAGTATGTTACAGGACACGTATCATGTTATCTCAATCTGGAATGGACCATTTTTTAAACTCTCTCTCTCTCTCTCTCTCTCTCTCTCTCTCTCTCTCTCTCTCTCTCTCATTCCTTCTTCCTGATGTAGCTTTATTATCACTCCTCCGTTAAAAATAAAACCCAGTCATTTTAGTCTTTTCCAAATTTAGAGGCATTCTCCATTACATTACTCCTCCAAACAATAAAATACTTTTTCTGTTGCGTGCTTATGATACATCTTATTTGGACAATAACAAATTTTAATACGCGGCAGTTGTGTATAATAACGTGCAGTGGCGGTTGGTAGTGAAAGGCTCACGGGCTTGACCCCCCCCCCCCCCCCAACTCTATCCCAAAGCAAATGAAAATAACGAAATATGCAGTTGAAGCTGTTATGATCGCACGCAATGAACACAGAGTGATCAACTTGGCGGCCTGCTCGTTTATCCAACCCCTGTAGTGACCGCTTACAATTATAGTAACCTAACCGCCAATCAAAATGTCTAAAGTCTTCAGCAAAGGACGAGCCCGTTCCCACGGCCCCTTCTTAATGAAACTCCTCATGTCAAATGGCAGACGACTTGAAAAAAAAAAAAACACTGCTCAAAGGGCTCACGCTCTCCTAGCCCCGACAATGGGGTGAAAGTTTGCGACACACTATCCCCCAGTGACACAGTTACCTACGCACCCATTGGACCTGTGTAAGATGCACTCTCTTTCCGCGACTACACGACCCAATCCAGCTCATAGACGGTACGTGTGTTTGAAGTGCTGCGTGTGCACGTTTGTGTGTGTCCCGCTGAGATTTAACAGTTATTAGTTACATCAAACCACTTTTGGGGCAACTTTTTCTTCAGATGAAAATTTATTAGAGAAATTTGGAGGTGAAACGGCTTTGTCCCCACCTTCCAGAAGAATTTAACGTGGAACAAAGAGATGATGACAAAGGTGACTCTTCTCGTTTGAATGCTTCTCAAAATGCCGTGGCTCACCGTGATTATAGACTACATATATATAATCACTGTTTTGTTCTTATTGCTTGTTGATGGTTTAAAAAAGGGGGGGGGGGGGGAGCAACCTAAGCCCCACCCAAATTTTGGTTCACCCACCGCCATTAGTGTGTTTGTTCATCTTTGTTTAAGAGCTCAATTAATAATGGATATTTCTCGGGGGCTTTGATTGTGGCCTAGAGGTTAAGGTTTTGGCCTCTCTTTCAAGAAGTCCCGGGTTCGAACCCGGATAACGACGGAAATTTTTATTCTCTAAATTGTCTCTTTTCACCTCCTTTCCCGCTCTCTGGCAATGATCTGTCGTCTGCTTTCGTCTTCTCTTTCTGCCCCCATCACCTCACATATCCTTTGCCCTCCCTCTGGGCTCCTAACTCTTTTTGCAACCTTTTTACTTCTACTCCTGGGCTCCTTCTTACTATCGTCTTTCAGCCACACACCTGATCTTATGGCAGGAAAGATCTACCCCACACTTTGCGTTCTCGAACAGGAGCGAAAAATCTCGGAGGTCCCGTGTGCAAGTTGCACACATTAAAGATCCCTTATTGGGGATGCAAAATCGTAGGCTTCGACCGCCACCCAGACAAAATTCAAAATTTCCTACATACCGAAAATATGTTCCGCATTCATACCTCATGAAGGTGCGAGCGCCATAAAACACTCACAAAAAAGCAACAACAACAACTACAACAATTAACACTAAAACAAAAGCTTGAAAAGACAGAAACTTGAAAAGGCTTGAAAAAGTATCAAAATAAAATGATGATGGCTCATATTAGTGAACGCTCTTTATTCAGAGTGCTGAGATTGAGTGAGGCGTGTGTTTGTGTGTGTGTGTGTGTGTGTGTGTGTGTGTGTGTGTGTGTGTGTGTGTGTGTGTGTGTGTGTGTGTGTGTGTGTGTGTGTGTGTGGTGGGGGGGGGGGGGGACTTATATATAATTCCCTCCAAGACCGTCCACGAATGTTTATTCAAATCTTAATCGTCTTCCCGGTGTAGAATATATGATTACAAAGTATAAATGTTGTCCTAAAACAGAAGGCCGACAGATCAACTCTGACAGAATTAGACTTATTTTAAGATACATCTCGGCTTATCCACCATCTGAGAACAGAGAACCACCGCGTTGCTCTCAAGGAGAACTCCTTGGTTGCTCTTCATCAGCTGGTTCTTGCAGTCAACGGGGATTGCCTGTCGCTATTTTTAGAATCAAGGGAAGTAAGTTGCGCGAAAGCGTTGAGACTTCCGGGGCTTGCTTCTCTCACTCCGAAAATGTAAACACAACCGATAGAAAATCACATTTTATACAAAAATATTGGGTTAAATTCTTGTAAAAGCTTGTTGTGTTCTTGATGAATGGAAATAAAATCCTTTTAATGTGATACAACTGGAGTCCTGGGAAGCATGGCGTCAAATTCTTTTATGGAAAGGCTTCGTACCTTTCATCCTCCTCTGCCGACAAACTTCACTTCACTCTCCAACTCCTACACTCCGATGAAGTTTGCAGAAGCCGGCTGGGAACGTGAAGAGAATGTCTTTCCCTGGTCAGATGAGTTAATATGTCACTCTTGTAGTGTTAGGCACAGTGGATGGTCAGGAGAATCTCCATTTGCTGCTCACCGAACCAAAAGTCCCAACTGTCGATTTTTAAACACGACACCCAATGCAACAACATTAACAAGCATCCCATCCACTTCGATCAATGAGACAAACAGAGGAGCAGGTATACAAGAACCAGAAACAATATCGTCCATCTGTAACTTATGTGTCTCAAACTCAAGTGATATAGACACTTTGAGAAGAAAGTTATTCTTGAGTAGACTGAACAATGATGACTCTCGGACATCATACAGTAGACGTCAACTTATTGTTCACCCTTTCAAACCTCTTGCTGGTGGGTATCTCATGTTGTTTGAAAGTCTCCGACTGACTACTTACAATTCACCAATCTCAGTTGAGGCAGCAAAATGGTCAAGGGATGGCTTCATCATGATCTCTAACCTCCGAGCCCAGTGTGTTTTTTGTGGACTCCAGTTGGAGTTTGACGTGTGTGTTGACATTGGACCTGTTCACAAGGAAAAGACACCTGAGTGTCCTTTTGTGTGCCACTTAGATGTGGGAAATATTACTAGTGAAGTACAAAGGAGTATTCTGGAGAAGGAGCGTTCAAAGCATTTTGTGGACATTAGTGAGCGGGATTCTTCCGTGGTAAAACAGTACAGTATCATGTACCCAGAGTTTGAGAGTTCAGCAGACCGATTTGGTACCTTTAGTTTGTGGCCAAAGATCCTGAAAGGAATGTTTCCTCCTGATGTTATGGCTGATGCAGGTTTTTACTATACAGGTAAGTGGGGATTTTTGTGTTTTTGTAATTATACAATGATTTATTTCCTCAAGTTTAGTTTAGAACTTAGCATCATATCAGGGTCATAATTTCTCCAGCGGTTACAAAAGTTAAAATCATTAGCTGCAGATATCCAACTCATATAGTTGAAGCTGTAAGTTGGCCATCCATTGTCAGCAGAGAAGTGGCCATATATTTAAAGACAGGTGGCTGTCTTAGGCAGGACTGATCAAGAGGAAGAAAACAAACTACTTTTCCCTTTGCTGAGGTCCCAACCGAAGGTAGCCGCATTGTTGCTTTTGTTGTTTTCATTGGTTTGTTTTTTTGTTTGCTTTTTTATTTTGATGCTGATTTTGTGCAAGGGTGACAATAAAACGAAATGTATGAGCCAAGTAAGACCAAATGCCATGGTAAAAAACAAACACATGGGTCGCCACCACTCAGAGAGCAACAACGCTTCGCTGTGACCAGTTCATGTTTACATCCATTGTTAAAGACTTGGTAAACAGTGACTGGTCACCTTACTTATAATTTGTGTATATATATGAGTTGTGGGTGGGAATTTTATGATGAGGAATCACATGCTCACCTCACCAGCAGCTGAAAATTTAAACCTCTCTATACTATTGGTCAACAGTGGGAGGGGCCTGCGCGACATGATCAGTTGAAGGGACTCTAACAACAACGACAGGTGATTGGATTTAAATGACGGTTCGCCCACAACGCCAGGGGCCAATTCATAATTTATGACAAAACGTAACATTATAATGGAATCGCTAAGGTCGCCATCTAAGTGCTATTGTTCAGTGTGATAGTACTGATAGGGGTTGAGTGTTAAAATATGGTGGCCGCAGCCGAGTTGGACAGGTAGCTGCTTTACACAGTGAAATTACTTTTAGAAAAAATGCTATGGGGGGAAATGGAAAGTGGTCGTCATGACAAATTCGACTGTATATTTTTTTTGGTAAGAAGTTGCGGATATATTTTATTTTATTACTGTGCAGTTTAGTACTTTAAGTACGAGCTCATATGATTTTAATCTTGTTTTATAATTCCTGCTCTCTAAAACAAACAATGTTATAATGATGTTTTAAGCTGTTTGAAACGTTCTAGGCTGCTTTTATAGAAAAAGTCAAATGAACAATTTTAATTGATAGTTTAATCTAGTTAACCGGCAAAGTCCATTAATTTTTTGTTTTGTTTTAAACTAAAGTACTAAAAATTAGAGATTTTCAGTGCAGCAAACATTCTTACTGTGTGTAGCTATATTAGAGTGAGCTTTTTTGTAATAGGGAGGGGATGGGTACAAGAAAAATGTTCCTCTTTGACAACCCATAAAATCTCCTCCCTTTCTTTTTTCAGTTTTAAAGGCCATTTACAGAATTTGTTATTAATTCAGTATCCACTAAAAATTTTAATTTTATTGTGTTGATTCCTTAATATTAACATTCATCTTAATTGCCAAGGAGACAAAATATAGTGACGTGCATTTGTCGGCAAGCTGTTAAAATGCACCAAGAATGGAAAGCAAAATTTTACAGGAGGAGAGTGAAAAAGAAAGACTATCATTGTTTTAACAATTTTACCTTCTTTTAAAATTAATTTTTCTTGCTTTTTTTAACATTTTTATTTAGAATTTAACTTTTGCCATAATATTTCTTGAGCATATTATGTGTCCCTACCAATTCTTATTTTTATTTTTTTAAAATATATTTTAAATTTTGGGGCGCTGCTCCTGCGTCGACAAGGTTGTGTTTACATCGGCTCTCCTTACTGTACTTTCTGAGGAAACTTAGGTCTTTCAATCTGAATCCGTCCATCTTACAGATATTCTACACCACCAAAATAGAAACTTTGATAAATTTTGGTATAGCTATTGTAGCAATTTGGGAAGACAGCACATCTTAAAAATAAACAAGTTTATATTAAATCAGAAAGGCATCTAGAACAATTGGTACGGACCTAAGTAACTTTGAATATCTGCACAAAACGCATGTTCTAAAAAAGGAGGAACTAATGCTGAGTGACCTTGCCACTCACTGACATTGGAATTTCAATTATCGACTCGCAGTAAACGATACATTTCCAAAACAGACAGATATAAAAGTTCTTTTGTACCAACTGCAGTGAGGTTAATGAACACACAGAGCTACAGATGAAACAGAGAGAGAGGGAGAGGGAGAGAGAGAAAGAAAGAGAGAGAGAGAGTTTTATGGAATGTATTGTTTCAGCATGTGAGACATATATGTATTTAATTAACTTAATGTCTTGTCTTGTTGTGTGTGTGCGTGGGTGCACCTCTAAGCTTTGTAACATCTACTGCCATTGTGCACGACCAACAAAAATTTCTCCCATCGAGATGAATGAAGATTGTCATTGTCATCGTCATTAAAAACAACCGCATATTTTTTTCAACATTTTGAGCTACGTACATTTTAAAAGCTAGCAGAAGATATCATATATTTCAAACTCCTTGTTTTAGATCCTACATGAACTGTCTTCTGTCTCTTTTTCATATAACTCATTATGTTTGCAACCTGAAACATACACTTGTGCAGGAGTTCCATATTTTCTTGTTTTTTATTGACAAGAAAAGAGCAAAAGGAATTGTTTAACATTATTTTCAACCTCAGGAAAGAAAATCTAGTATGATTTTACGATACAATATGTTTCACCATTTTACTTTTTTCCTCAGGCCATAATGACATGGTTCGTTGTTTCTCCTGTGGTGTTGAACTCTTTGACTGGATACCAGGTGCTGACCCACTGACCCAGCATGCCTGTGCCTCTCCAGTCTGTTGCTTCATGCTGCACAGCAAAGGTCAAGAGTGGTAAAGTGGTGTGATGACTTCTTTTAAAGGAATAATCTGTCTCACCTCTTTCACCTGTGTGTGTGTGTGTGTGTGTGTGTGTGTGCGTGTGTGTGTGTGCATGTGTGTGTGTGTGCATGCGTGCGTGCGTGCGTGCGTGCGTGCATGCGTGCGTGTGTGTGTGGACACAGAACCCTTGAACACAGAACAAAGTGAGCAGTGCATGCTAGAATTACTGACTCTCTCCCTGGTGGGCAGTGGCATGTTGTTATGAGTGTTGTAGTTTTGGTAAATATTTTTGGGAATTAAAATTTGTGACTGTTACATTCTGTTCTGAAGTGGAAAAATTTGCTTCAAGCAGACTCTCTCAGTACTGGCTTTACAGTCTGAGACATAGAGTGTTGAGTACTCAGAGAGGAAATGCGTAGTATTTCTATTGGTTTGCTACTTTTGTAAAATCTTTCTTCGTCTCATTCTAATGAAAAGATGTAATAGGTACAATGTTATGCTCTAAACGTGTAACTTGAAGAAATAGAGGTGTACCCACTTTTTGTTCTAAAACCAATGTCGAGATCAATTTGCCCATCTTCATTTTTATAAAAGTGGGGAGTCAATGGGCTGTATTGATGGTGTAAAAGTACTGTGGGCTAACGTTTTTGTGACTTCTCTGATTGTTTGAATTAAGAAATTTCTTAGGGGGTGGGAGGCTCCTGAAAAATTTTGAAGAAGCTAATTACACAGTTAGGACATATATATATATTATATATATATATATATATATATATATATATATATATATATATATATATATATATATAAATATATATATCGATATAGTTTATTATATTATCTGTATAGTTTATTATATGAACTCTCTCTTTCATAGATTTTATTCATACTTACTTGAGTTACAGATTTTTACAGGATGGTCACGTTTCTTCTTCTCATAGAGAGGCAGTGAACTTTTCTTTCTTGTGTTTCTTTTTAGAGCTTTTTCTCACAACTCTTTTCTTTTCTCTCTTTGTTGCAGCTTGTGGTTGGAGTAAACCAAGAAAGTCAAAGACAAGGTAAATATGGTACAAGAACCCATGTCATATCACCTTGTTTGTGTGTTGACTTTGTTTCAGAGGCTGTCATGTAAAATAATGTGCCCCCTCCCCCCGGGGCAGTGCCACTGATTGTAGTGTCTTTAGGCCATTCCCAAAGGGGGGACATTTTTCGTTCAAGCACAGTAGAATTGTAAATGGGCTGATTCATCATGTCACGCTCATAACTGTGCCTGATCTGCAACAGGGAATTGCTGCTTTTTCTTTCCTAATCCTTACTATTGTCATTTTCCTCTACTTCTTTTGTATGTTTGTCACTTCTTGTGACCTGCTATTTCCGGGGTGCCTTGATAGTCAAAGCAGACCTTGTGCTGTTGAAGCTAGAGAGGTGAGCAGAGTAAGTTTGATTTTCTGTAAGGACTTTTCTGTTGACACCCACTCCTTGGCGCTCATATGACCTTATGCAGTTGCGAGCACAGTAAAACCCTCTACTAAAAAAAAATAAAAAAATAATGTGTTATGATTTGAAAGTTTAAATGCATTATTACTCTTCCTTTGTAAATGGTGCTTTTAATTTATTTGATTTTGGGCAAAGCTTTTAGTACTCAGCGATAGATTAGTGAACACTCTGGTGTGCCTGTGATCCTTGTATGAAAAAAAGTTTAGTACAGTAATGGAAGGAAGGAGTTGGACAATATTTGCACAGTTTTGAAGTTATGCCACAAGAATCAATATTGTTTCTTTTTATTTCATCTTCAGGTAATGATTGATTTTCATTTAAGCCTACCTTTCATAAGAAATTTTAAGAATTGTTTTGATTATTTCAGTAATGTTTAAGGGTCAACTGACTGACAGCAACTTTAAAAAAAGACGGTTAACTGATGTTCTTTTCTTTTACTTGCTATGTCTGTTACAGAGTTTGTATTTTTTCATAATTCAGTTGTAGTTCTTATATTGACTGTTTATTTATCTTGTTAGCTTTGATTTAAAAAAAAGAATTAACTGAGACATTTTTCTCATCTCCAATTTTACTGAGAAAGTGTAAGTTACATTGTATTACTTATCATCAATGTGGCATATAAGTTAATTCCTGTGTTATTTCTGTCAGGTCTTGAGGCAGCTACTTCGTCCACCACACTGTCAACAGCAGCAGTGACATCAGCAACATCAACATCGTCATCCACATCATCATCATCGCCGCCACCAGCTGGTCCCAGACCGTACCTGGACCTGGACTTGTTCTCCTCAGCTCGTGCACGTGGGTACAGCACAGAGCAAATCTCTGATGCCATCATCACCTTCTTTTACCTGACTTGTGAGTCACTCCTCTATACAGAGCAAATCTCTGATGGCATCTCACCTTCCTTTATCTTTTATATCTTCTCTTCACCCATGAGATAATCTTTCCTCACATATGTTATAAGGCTGGTTGGGAAAAGGGTTATTTTCTGAAAATGTCTTGTAATCTAAACTGGCATTCAAGCAATTTAGTGCTAGGGATGAGTTGTTTCATGAACAACATTGTTGTTTTCACTTGTAATGAAATATGTATAGAGAAAGGATTTTTTTAAAATCTTTGCCTGATTGAGCAGATATTGTTGTTGCAAGAAAAATTAGGAACTCTGTTTGATACTGCTTTAAGTGGTGAGTAAAAATAATCAGAGTTTCTAATTTTTCTTCCAACAACAAATCAACCTCTCAGAGTAAGACTCAGTCATACATCACTCTTCAAAACAGCATATGGTGGAGTCTTACACTTAGCGACCAAAATGTCATGCAGTTTTCTTTTATAATTAAAAATCTATCATGTAAATGTACTGATGTTGTCCAACAGCTGACTTTGCCTGTTCACTTTTTTGTAGCCGTTATTTTTCTAAAGTTAGAAGCTGTCAGTGAACAATGTGGTGTAGTTGGTAGAGTGTTTACTATATGTGTGTGTTTGTGTCTTCAGGTGGCCAGTTCCCCGACTCTCCCCTCCTGCTGGGTCTGCTCAAGGCTGGCACTGACAACCACAAGACACTCTGTGACAAGACACAGGAAAACCTGGACATCAGGTCGGAGAACCAGGTCATTAAGTCAGAGGTCCGGGTCATTAAGTCAGAGGTGAAGGCCAAGGACACAGAGATCCAGGCCAAGGACACAGAGATCCAGGCCAAGGACACAGAGATCCAGGCCAAGGACACAGAGATCCAGGCCAAGGAGAGAGAACTCCAGCGTCAGAGGTTTGAGCGTCACTGGCGGGAGCTGGCCATGAATCAGGTGAGCTACAACCTTTGACCTTTGTGACTTCACCCCATTGGTGTTATAATATGTTCAGATTACTTGACCATCTCACCTTTGACCTCTGTGCAACTGTATTGTGTGTTGTGTCATTGATGGCAGACCAGACTGTAGGCAAAGACTTGGGATAAATAAGAACAGCCACATTCTGTGTTTCTCTGTGCTAGAGCTCCTCTCAGTGTTAACACATCTCTCTCTCCTTGCCAGTTACTCTGGTAGTGTTGATGAAAGGTTGAGGTTCAAAGCTGAGTGGGTTATGAATCTTTCTCTTCCTTTCTTGAAGCTTTCTTTTGGGACAAGTGCACTGACTTTAAAATTATGGGTGGTTAGTGTGTGTTTTTATGTGGCCCTCTCTTTCTACTTCTTGTCACTATTACATGTATGTCATTTTATTTTTTCTCTCTCTCCTTGCCCATTACTGTGGCAGTGGTGATGAAAGGTTGAGGTTCAAACCTGAATAGGTTATGAATTTTTCTCTTCCTTTTTTGAAGCTTACTTTTAGAACCAAGAGTTGAAGAGTTATGGGTGATAAGTGAGTGCTTTTGTGTGGTCTGCTCCTCCTACTTCTTGTTGCTGTTATAATTCTGTCAGTCTGTGTTTTGCTTTAGGTGACTGTTGTTGTACTGACTCACTGTAATAATAACCAAAGTGGTATTGTGGGTAGTTGGAGGGTGTCACTGGTGGTAGTTCTTACTTCTTTTCCATGCCCCTGTTGTTTTTGTCTCTGTTTAATTTAATCTTTCTTTTTTTCCTTCTTCCCATTATTGTGTTGATATAATGCTTTTCTTTACTGGAAAAAGTGATGACTAGTAGGTTGTTATAGTCCCATCGAGAATAGATGGGTATAAAAATGGAAGAATTTTGTGGCATTGTTTTTCTCTTCTTTTGCTCTTTTTAGCTTAGATGAAATGGTTGATTGCTTATTAGGGAGTGTGTTTACAAAGTCTTTTTTTTTTTGGAGGGGGAGGGTGAAATGAGAAGTCAGGAGTGTAGGCAGAAAGTTCAGAAAAATGATTCTGTTAAGCTCAACTTTTTCCCCCTTTTTTATTGTCAAGTGGTGATCCACCCAATGATTTGGTTTTACAGGGATCTTTGTTGTTTTGCGCAGTATCCAGTCATGTGACAATCTTTTGTTAATTTAAGCTAGATTTTGTTCATGCTGGGTTGCTTTTTTTCTTTTAAGGTATCATCCATTTATTAATGTGTCTGTGCTTTTGTTAGTAATATATGGGGGTTGTTGGCGGGCTCTCTGGTCTGGTTTGCTCCTTCTTTGTTATCAAACATCTATCGTCCTTATCTTTGCTTCTTTTTTTCTTTATATAAATGTGTTACTCTCTAGTACCACTTCTAATATTTGGCATTTATGTGACCTATTTGTGTTGCAATTGCCTTAAAACTCCTACTCAAATTAATAGACTAATGATGCATAATGAATGGTAAGAGTGTTGTAATGATAATGATAGAATGCAGTTGTACTAGGTTTTTTCCATGCTTTAAAGAGTAATTTCTAGATTTTGCCATCTATTGTTACATTGACAAACCGCCTTATTTGCATTCTGAAATAGTTTCAGTCTTTTTAGAAACATTCAATGCTGGAACATAAACGTACTGAATAGATCTTTCACTGTCTTTTCTGGATACCCATTCTCACCTTTATGAAGTGAAGAAAATTTGTGGAATGTGTCTTTCCCAAGAACGCATTAATGGTTTTGGACTGAAATCCAAACTAGCAACCTTTTAGCTGCAAGTTGAGCAGACTAACTACTTGACTATCAACACCATCATTGCCATGATAATTGTGTTGTTGAGCTGATCTTTGTTTCGGGTCTTTTGGTACAGGGGGGTGGCTGGAGGGGGGATGTAAGAGAGTGAGTGGGGAATTGATTGATAGGTTGTGTCAACCAGATCTGTTTATTGAATAACTTGTGAGGTGTCTGTACATTAATGGGGTGTTCACTTGATGAAGTTAATAAAACTGGAACGTTGTGACATAATCACGTCTTTCTACTTTGATTTTTCTTGAGAACTGTAGTCGTAATTAGTACTTATTGGAATTTGAATTTGATTAATGTTCTGGCTTGCAAGGTGAACCTTTTGATATGGGCATAATGTCATTGTCTGAGCATCCCGTTATCAGCTGTAGATTTGTTACATTCTCATGAGATTTGAGCCACTGCATTAGAGCAAGGTTTGACATAATGATGTAGTGTTGAAAAATTGTAATCTTGAATGTGAGGTCTTTCATTTTTATTTCTTTTCAGAAAAGTGTGTAATTGTTTGGTTGGTGGTTGGGGGGTGCTCTGGTGTGGTTTGCTCCTTCTTTCCAATGAAACAACTGTCGTCTTTATCTCTCCTTCTTTTTTATGTTGTTTTTTTTGTCTCTTGTAACACCTCTAATCTTCGGCACTTATATGACCTAATTGTGTTGCCAGTGCTGTAAAACTCTTACTAAAACAAAAATAATTGTTAAGTTTTTTTTTATACAGATTTTTTCTATTTGTGTACAATCTTTGTCTTCAGGTCATAGAGGAGTTGGAAGAAAAAGACCAGGTGATAGAAGAGAAAGACCTGGTGATAGAAGAGAAAGACAGGCATTAGAAGAGAAAGACCAGGCATTAGAAGAGAAAAACCAGGCACTCTTCACCAAAGATCTACAGCTGTCTATGCTGAGACAAGAGTTACAAGAAATGCGTGAACGTCAAAGACCTCGGTCAGCTCCCCTGGACAGACTGGACTTTGAGACAGAAGGTCAGTTTGTTGACACCTGTTTTGTTTTATGTGTAGGAACTGTGTTGTGTTAAGACCTTGTCATCTTTGTGTTTTTTGTCCATGGTATTAAGACATCAGTAGGATATTCAGTTCCCAAAGATTTGCTTCAGTGTTATGAGGTCTTTGGTCTCATCATTGACCCTCTGAGGATGCACTTTTGTTTTTGGTTGCTTGTACATGGACAATGTCTTTACATCATTACATCATAGGGGGTGTTATTCTTTATTTTGTTTCAGATCAGTATCAGTATTCTTCTTCAAGGCATTAGTATTTTATGCTAACGGTTTGGAATGGTTGTAGAACAGTGAGCTTCACCTGTTATGTTGTTCATGTAGCCTGGACTAATGACATTTTTCTTTTTGAAACGTAAACTTCTAGAGATGACCCAAGAAAGCTTTAATCCTTTATTTTCAACAAAACTCCAGTTAGTCCTTGTTCAGTGTGCAACTATAGTTCAGCATGTCTTTGCTATACATTTTTTTTAAAAAATCAATTTTTCAACAGTTTTTGCAACTGATATTGATACATTTCAAAGTGTCATGTTGATGGTAGTCAATCTAATGTTGATAGAAATGCAACAGCCACTATTGTATACTTTTCTGTTTTGAGAGAATTGATAGAGAGCCTCTCTTACTTCCCATTTCTCGAGTATGTTTGCTTGGCTCCTCTTCTTTTTTTTTTTTGCGACATTAATGTTTTGATTATCATTATTTATGTTGATATGGGTAGACCTCTATTGCCTACTTCTCTGTTTTCTCAAACCACTTAACATACTGCTCATCCACAGACCAATCTGACGACCCGGATGTGAGAGAGGGTCAGAACAGTAGTCATATTGAAGATGTAAATCTGATGTCTTGCCCAATGTGTCATGATGCGCCCATCCAAGTTTTGCTGCGTCCATGTAAACATCTGTGTGGCTGTGCTCTGTGTGTCTCCAAACTGGACGGACGATGTCCTTATTGTAGACGCTTCACCACTGGGATGGAGAAAGTTTTTGTCCCATGAGGATAAATATTGATACTTTTTTTTATACGTGTTACATGATAGATTCTCTTGAAATGAGAGACTTTGCATTTTAAATTGCTCTTTTATAAATTATTTAAATTTGGGTTGTTTCGTCTGGTTGTAAATTATGACTATTTTACCCAACCTAACATGACTTAAGGCTCTGTTGTGATAGATAATCCCCTTACCTTAGAAAAGAGACATGTCTCCTCGAAATATTAATTAAACAGGATAAAAATTTCTTTTGTAATAAATTACAAGTAAATCTAGATTTGGGCCAATTGCGAAGGGGAAACTGCCAGATGATTTTGTGGAAGATAGCTACGCAGTCGAGTGTTTTGAAGACAGGTGATGGTGGGCAAATTGATGGGATTGGTTTTAAAGATTAAAAACTGTTTAAATGGCTTCTACATAAATGGTACCGTACTTTGTACACCAGATTTCTCAAAATTAACTTTTGGTGAGACATTGTTCATACTGAGAGAATAGTCTCATGCTCATAGTGTGTGAACTGTTGATGTCTATTCTAAGTAACCTGTCATGTTTCAAATTCAGGATGATAATGATTTAGGAACCATATTTGACACTTTTTCTAGATAAACACCACTTGTCCAAGTCACAGGCATCTCTAGTGTCCTTGTTAGGCTCTTTGTCATAGGACGCAAATAACCTGAGTCAGAGCGCACATGGAATCTTTTTTGTCAAGTATCTCCTTTCTCTCTGCCGAGATGCTGTAGGCCTACCACTCTCAGCCTGGGTTGGTCCTCACAGTAGGATTAGAAAGCCAGCTTCATTAATGCTCTAAATTGTATTGATGGGGTCATAAAACAGTTTGGTTTTTTAAAAGTAAGTCGTTTGTAGCTGACTGTCTTAAATTTGGGGTTTTTCGACAAGGATATTCTGATCTCATACAAGAGGGCAAAAACACAAATATGCTGTTTTTTGTTTTTTTTCTCATTTTGTCTTGTCCTCGTTACAAAAACACACAGGTCTAAACTATTGTTTCTGTCATACTTTTGATCTATTTTTTTCTTCAATTAATTCATTACCATGTTGACCCTCGCATGTTTTTTTTAAAGTCATTGCTAAAGTTGTTGTGTAAAGTCTTGATATAAAATTGCGAATTTCTTCCAATGCAGATACATTGCATCCTGAACAAAAGGTCTCTTCATTTGTCAAGTCTTACTTCATTTTACAATTGTTGCAAGCTTATTTCAAGCAGACAGTGTTTACTTTATTTGTAATATATTTTTTGTTTCAACGTGGTGTCTTGTTTATAGTACATAATATGCTCTACACATGTTGCAAACCATAGTTTTACTGATAAAATACAAATGCACTGCCCAAAAAGGCTATTGATATGATTCTTTATATATATGACGCAAATAAATTTAGAATGTTAGGCATGATATGGTCCATCCTATGAATTCGCAAAAGTTGGCAGCAGATATTTTCATTAGTCATTTAGGAACATGCCCATTGTCACATTACTCACATCATTGTTTCAGATCATACAAGAGGACTTTAACAGAAAATCTTTAAGTGCTCATGATTTATTTGCAGTCATAATAATTGGTTGGGAAAACGCACTTACTCGTACGATATAAAGTGAGACAATGCAGTGCATAGCAAAAATTAACTCTGTACACACAAACTTTGCCAGGGAACATGATGTTCATTAATGTTCTTGAATATTTTTATGAGACTGTTATGATTCTCCTGATTTGTCCCTCTGTGAAAAAGAGTAAGAAATGTACACCTGTTACATTTGTCTATAAAATGGAACTAACTATCCTTTTGCATTTTGTGGCCCTAGTTATCCGGCATTTTTTGTAGGCCTATTTATAAAATGAGAACAACCCTTCAGTTTTTTTCTTTTTCCCTTCTAAGCATCACATTTATTGGCACTGTAGAAATACCAACTGAAAATGTCTTTTAAGTGAAATTTTTACACAAATTTTTATCAATTTAATTTCTTTTTCCTTCTACATTTCTTTTACCTTGGTACGGTACTCCAAGCAAACAGACCACACCTTTGATAGTTTTATTTATGAGAATTATTGATTTTGAATGGCAGCTGTGCATCTTTTTAAAATTTTTACCATCAAGGACATTTTTGTAGATTTAAAGGACTCGAAAGATTAGTTTGATGTGGAGATTCCTGTGCCACAGGAGTGATGGCCCATGTTAGTGTATGGCATTTACTGTTATTTGGAAGGAGAAGTAATCATCTCAGCATAAAAAAGGTAGTTTGTCTAGAAACTCCTGCACAAGCTTTTTTATATACTCTTTTTGTTATCTGCAGTATTGTTTTAAGGATTGTATTTGTATTTGTTGGATTGAAGTACAGTTGTCTCCGCCTAAGATCCCAGTGCTCAGGAGCAAGGAAAATGCTGGATCTTAGGCGAATGGAATCTTCGCTGACGAACCCAGGAAGGAACCTACGGAGACCCATGTTAAGGCTCACAATCGGTAAAATGGTCTCCCTTCACTCTGAAATTAACTGATGTGACCCTTGAGTGGGTTTATGACATGGTGAGCAAAGAGTTGTCAATTTTGATGACCAATGACAGTGGCATGAGGCATGCCATTTATACTTATTATCCTATCGTGAGTTTCGAGATCTAGTGAAATGGAGAGCTCAGATGCGAGTGCGATGTTTGAGGATAACAAATGCGATGGTCAGTTCACACCTCGGTGTGATCCCGTCTGGGGCAAACATTGTACTGTTTTATCAAGTTTTACAACGCTTATGTGATCACATTCCAGGGAGTGACTGACCTTTGACGCGAGGGGCAGTTCATTGATCTCAACTTTTCACTCTTGGTTGATCAGCTGTGCCCGCCTGGGATTTTGTTCCATAAATTATGATCTGAAATGCAGGGTCTTACCCGAATGTAGTATGTAGACCTTCAGAGTGAATAAGAGCAGGATCTTAAGGGTGACTTTTGTATAGTAAAAATTTTGTTTTCTTAAAACAGCGGGATCTTATTAAGCGAAACAGGATCGTAAGCAGTGGGATCTTAGGCGGAGACTACCGTATATTGTTACTACTATATTTACTTATGGCTGATTTATTAATTATTTAATTATTATTATTTCACTTCTCACATGGTTTGTTTTGATTTGGGGGGGGGGGTGGATTTGAATTGTACATTACTGTAGAAACTTTTGAAACTGTCTTTTACATTACTGCCCATGTTACAAAACATTTGAACCAAGTATTTATACTTAATTTTTACCGGTCCTGTGACCATTTTGTTTTGGTTTCATGACTAAAATTGTGTCAATTTGTTCACATGAAATGCTCTATTGTAAAAATTTTCATAAGTTCATTTATCACAGATCATCATGGCATTTCAGTGCTGAGTTATTATTATGCAATTTCTCATACTTTCCGGAGTTTGGTGATACTGTATAATCAGTCTTGGATTTGTGTTTGTTTTTATCAGTTAATGGTATTAGTCACATGGCATGAAGTTTGTTTCTGATATGTTATAGCAATAATTTGTCACAATTTGTGATCTTTTGTTGATAAAGAATTTGTTGTTGCTTATTCTGGAAAAAGCAACAACTTCTATTTGTTTCTCTTCCAGACGTTTTTTTCTTTTTTAAAACACGATTTATTTCTGGTCTCCATTGCATGATTGGCAGCTGTATGTTTGGTCAGTCTGTATATATATATATATATATATAAAACATTTTTCCAAATTGTACATGGTTAATATAAATCTGACTCTCTGTGTGTGGTTCTATGTGCTTGCACTTGCATCTGTGTATGAGAGTAGATTCAATAGTGGCAGCATCTGTGATGTAATGGTTAAGTGCATCGCCTTGCTGTCAAGGGACTCAAGTTTGATTTCTATATGGGGAAAGCGTTTCCATCTTTTATCTATGATATATATATATATATATCCCACTCTGTCTATGTTAACCCTGACAGATAGGGCTAAAGTTGCCTATTTCTAAATGAACTATATAGGGGGGGGGGGAAGGGTTGTAATATTCTATCACATATTACTATAAAAGAGGAATATAATGGAGAAAGATGGATGGAATAGAAAGACATATTGGGAAAGGGGTATAGTATACTTATCGCATATTACTCTATAAAAATGGAATACAACAGAGAAAGATGGTAACATAGGAAGAGAATGATAAAGTGGTTGGACTGGAAGGCATGAGAGGATGCGGATCATGCCTCCATAGACACAATTCAGTTAATCTAAAAGGTAGGCTACCTTGACCCTTCCTGTCAGAGCCAACCTGTGAATAGTGGGGTACAGCATCCCAGTACACAGGTGGAGGTATTCTGTTAAATATACTATCCCTCTTTGAATCAAACCCAAGGCTTCTATGTGCAAGGCAAAGAGCTTTACCCTTACACCAGAGACAGCAATAAAAGAGAGAAAGGTGTGAGACAGTACAGACCAAATAAAAGAAACAGACAAATTCAAGAGAAAAAGAATGAATATATTGAATCATACGACATGTTATGTACATACTGTAAAATAGTGTTTTCATATATACATAACTATGGGGACCGGAAATGCATAACATATATAAATACTTATGATTTTCGTTTTTGGATATGCATAGTTGTTAATTTTAATTTATTTTTTTTGGCAACATCTGTGTTGTAGCAGTTTGCCTTTGCTTGCAGCAAATGTGAGTTTGATTCCCGCTTGGGGATGGGTTTTTTTCAAGTATTTCCGTCTGTCTGCAATGACGTTGTATCCCTCTCAGCCCTGGCTGACCCTAACAGGCAGGGTCAAAGCTACCCATCTCCTAAATGATCTAAATAGTGTTGATTGTAAGAAAACTTACAATTACAATACATCGCAATAACAGATGCGGTTGAAGTGTTCATTATTAATTTTACTTGTACTTGACGCACTTCTCTTAATTTGTCCTTTTGCTATTTCCCATCTTGTGTAAAACTTGTACTTGACGCACTTCTCTTAATTTGTCCTTTTGCTATTCCCCATCTTGTGTAGGTTCATTTGCCCTCATGTTAAACCAGAACAAACATTTTTGCTTCCATTGACTGTTTGTAGGAGCAGAGAAAGGTTAACAGGAGAGACTTGTAGAGAACGCACTCTTTGTTTCATCTATTTTACCATCTTTAGGTTCTGGCTTTACTCTTTTCATTTTGATGTTCTTGTTTTAGATAAGTCACAGGTACTCTTCTTCACTGTTTCTCCCTCACTGTTACTTTCTTTGATAATGTTTCTTTCTCACTGCTGGTTTTTGTCTTGTTTCTCCTCTCCTCCTGTTACTGTTGTTATTCCTCTACACCAGATGTTTTTGTTGATAAAATGTATATACGGACATCATACATGATTGCATTTGTATATAAAGCATTATACAGTATTCTTGTTTGATCTGATGTTGAGGGGGGTGGGGGTTGTTGGGGGTTTTTTTGGAAGGGGGGGGGGCAACACAAGAAGGGTAGAAGTACCGACGATTAGAGACGGTAAAAGACACAAAACAGGATGCAAATTTTTAATCTTTAGTTTTTCCGTCTGAACTTTTAAAAAAATGGACTCTTTAAAAAAGTATGTGCGCCTTACTTGCTGTATGAGTAGGAACCTTAGAAGTCATTTTCCAGGAATGTTAGGAGTTATTTGGCACCTTTTAGTAAGTTTTCTTTAGTGGGCATGCCATATTATGCACTTTTGCAGCTCCCTTCCCCATTTTATGACATTTTCAAGACGAGCTTTTTGGGCGGTCATATTGATCCTCTTTATTGTGAACTGTATTCTGTCTGTGTTATTTGACGTTGCTTGTAGAAAAAGCTCTGAATGGGTTAAGTTTAGAAAAAATGTAGATGAAATTTTAATAAACAGACTGCTCATTGTGCAGCAAGAATAGATATCATAATTAGTAAAGATCCTACGCAGGATAGGAGGTGCTGAAAGCAGATGTGTCTCAGTTTTCATAAGATAATGGAACAGATAATATCAGATCACGGATAGGATTTTAGTTTGGTTTGTTTACCTTCCAGTACATGTAGATAGATGCTGGCTCCCGATTCTATATACTGTAAGGATTCCTTAAACTGTTTATATTTTTCCATCTTTCAAAGATTTTTTTGCTTTTTAAAAAAAGTGTGTGTGAGGGGGGGGGGGGTTGAAATTGTGAGGCAGCCTTGTGAAATCATGCGCTCGTCAAAATAATGAAAGTGAAGAAACTGGCATTTTTCCGCAGATTTGGTAATTTTCATTGAATTTTTATTTTTTGGCTCAACATCTTTGATGTCCATTAACTCATTCGGGACGCAGGTTTGGACCAGTTTTGCACCCTGGGACGCACGATTTTGGGTCGACTTTTAAAGTCTCCCATTTTCTTCCCTTTTGATATTTTTAAAGTCTGTTTTCACTGTCTACCCATTCAACATTTCAACATTTGGAGTTTGCCTTAGATCTAACCCAGTTTGCCTGGATATATTCCTTAACTTGCCAGGACCCCTACAAATATGGTGTATGAGATCCCCCCAAAAAAATTTCCCTCTAAGTTGACAGTGAAAAAATGCAGAAACAAACAAGAGATAAAGTTACAACACAACTATAATGCAGTTAAAAACACATCACAGCACAATTTACAGTCCAAATACTGTGAAGAAATAGTTCCAGTCACTGTGAATAGTCCTTCAAAAATCACCTCAGAAAATTACAAAAATGACGCTATACGGCCAAAGATAAATAGATACAAAATAGAAATGTCTTCTATAGCGGCCATTTTCCACTAAATTTACCTCTGAAACCAGGGGACCCTTACCTCCTTCAATCGCAAATATCACAATGTATATTCAAGATAACTGGATATTTTTTTCATCCAAAGCAAGACAAACAAACAACCTTTTAAGATGATACCAATAACTTCACATGACCAAAAATTGACGAGTTCCTGATTCCACCACGTTGTGACACAATTGATCTTTTCTTTGAGGAAAGATTATTGATTTGAAAAGCAAGAAGTGTACTGACCGACACAGTACTGGAGTACTTTTAATGTGGTCCTAGAATTGTCTCACAAATGTAAAGAAGTTGTTGGTGTCAGCTTATTTTTTCTTCATCTGATCTGTGCTTAACATGCTTTATTTTTCATTTTATGTGTTATGGTCACATTTTTGGGGCAATAATGTGTTAATGTGGCAGTCTTTTTTGTAACTGAAAGTTTGTTCTTCAAGTGGAAAGTGACAACTCTGTGACAGGCAGCTAGACATTCTCATACAAACTGACCATCACTTGGAGCCCTGATCTGAAGCCAATTCCTCTCTCTTCTACTAGTTCTACTTCTACAACATGAATAAGGCAGCCAATTTTATTTTGTTTTTTGAAAACTTTTTCTGAACAAATGAAATATAATATTTACATGATGTTCTATTGTGGCATGAAAAGGGGCAGCGTTTTTTGTTTTCCCTTTAAATATGCACTTCACTGTCATTTATTATCATTCATTAACCGTTTGGACCTGATCACATTTTGTGCACCAAACATAAGCTTTATGGTGCAATGGTGCAAAATTTACAGCTGGCGAAAGGGATTTCAAGTGCACAGGTCCTATTTATAAGTGAGGGGAGAGGAGGGTGGGGGGGGGGGGGGGGACGTCTTAAAGGGTTATGTTGATTTTCTGTTTTGTTCAAATATAGACGATATTCAAGCTGAAACAGTTTCTTAAATTTAAAGAATTTGTTATTTTTCTGTAATTTTTTTCAATACGAATTATCTTGAATGAAAATTTGAAACATCAGTTTGTATCAAGAGTTTTATGTGAGGCTTCGCAGAAGAACAATCTTGTTTTCCATCTGTTTGGCATAGACATAGGATTAGTATCCTTTAGACTATCTTGAAAGGTTCCACCTTAGTCTGCATTTCCAACACTGCTTGCTGTTTGACATCCTTTCCATTTTTACTTGGTATCGAGAAGTTGATGTTCTTAGCTACATGCACTACAGGAGAGTGAAGGCATTCAGGGAGAAAAAAAGCATTAATAACTTTCTTCTTTTGGGGCTGGGCTGTACAGGTTGCAAAGTTCCCACAGTGGAAAGAAGTTATTTTAGAAGATTTTGTTTTGTGTTCCAAGCGCATTATATGTTCAGTGTTCCAAGACCTGATACTATCATAATAGTACCTAGAAGTGTTCGCATAAAAAAATTTTTAGCACTTTTTTTTCTTTTTGCTTTTTTGTATGATATGCCACTTTTTTTCTTGCGATGAATCTTTATGAATAACAATTTTATTAGAAATAGTGCCCGGCTGTTGTTTTTTTGAAAGGTATACAATAAAAAGTGTTTAATATAATTCTTGAATGTGTTGCTCAAATAATGTCATTGTGCTTTGTGATATTCAGTCTCATGTTTAGTATTCGCCGAGATATGTGAGGAAAAGACAGTTGAGACATAATATATATATTAAAAAAAGGTGAAGTGTTGAATGAGGTGGGTGGAGAAGTTGTGGGGGCGGAGAAGTTGGGGGTGGGTGAGACAGAGGAGATGGGTAGAAAAGTGAAACAGTTGGGAATTAGGAAGACAAGGCAGTTGAAAAACGGTTTGTGAAGCAGAAACGGGTGAAAAAGGTGATGTGACTGAGAAAAGTTTTTTCTATTTTATTTAATAGAGTTTAACATTTCAGTATAAGGAAAAGATGGGGAAGTTGAGAAAGTCAAAGAGGGGAGACCATGAGAAAAGGAGGAGCAGTGCACCAGGTTTGTCGAAAAAAAAGTCCAAGACAAATGTGAGGCAGATTGGAAAAGGGTGGCACAATTTAGAACAGTACGTTCGAGCCTAATATTAAGAAGAAAAAAAAAACCATGAACAAATTTGGCATGAGAAAAGAAAAGCTGAGATCAGAAGAAGAAAAGTGATGTGATCTCGAGAAAAGAGATGAGGATGAAGTACGGGTAGGAAATGAGCTGAAAAAAGCTGATGAGGTCAGAATAAGAGTTCATAGTATGTATCTACAGTAAGATCATAGCTCCTAAGGTCAGGGTAGATACATCTGTACTCGGTGACTTCCACCAACGTTGAACGTTTTGCTCTTCATCAGCTGGTCTGGACAGTCAATGGGGATTACCTGTCGCTATTTTTAGAACCAAGGGAAGTAAGTTGCGCGAAAACGTTTGTACTTCCGGGGCTTGCAGCTATCACTCTGGAAATTATAAACAACTGGTGAAAACCACATTATTATAACAAAAATATTTGTTTAAATTCTTGGGAAAGCTTGTTAGTTTCTTGATGAATGAGAATATAGTTCTTTTATTGTGATACAACTGGAGTCCTGGGAAGCATGGCGTCAAATTCATACATGGAAAGACTTCGCACCTTTCATCCTCCACTGCCGCAAAACTTTGTCAGTTCACTCTCCAACACTCCAGTGAAGTTTGCTGAAGCTGGCTGGGAACGTGCAGGCAATGTTCCAATCTCATCAGATGAGTTAGTATGTCGTTCTTGCAGTATTAAACACAGTGGTTGGTCAGGGGAATCGCCCCTTGCTGTCCACAGAACCAGAAGTCCAAACTGTCCATTTCTAAACTCGGAACCCAGCACCCCTTCTCATTTTGTCAATGTTGTTGGCGATAGTGAAACAATATCACCCTCTGTTTTCAATGAAACAATTGAGAAAGCACACATACAGGAGGCAGGAACTATATTTTCAATATGTAACTCATGTGACACAAGCAATAGAGAAACTCTGAAAAGGAAATTGTTTTCGAATCAATCCAACAGATTAGCCAAATATGGCAGACGTCAACCTATTTTACATCCCTTTAAACCCCTTGCTGGTGGGTATCCAATGTTGTTTGAAAGTCTTCGACTGACTACTTACAGTTTACCAAGCTCAGTTGAGGCGGCAAAATGGTCAAGGGATGGCTTCATCATGATCTCTATCCTCCGAGCCCAGTGTGTTTTCTGTGGACTCCAGTTGGAGTTTGACGTGTGTGTTGACATTGGATATGTGCACAAGGAAAAGTCACCTGAGTGTCCTTTTGTGTGTCACTTTGACATGGGAAATATTGCGAGTGAAGAGCAGAGGAGTATTCTGGAGAAAGAACGTTCGAAACATTTTGTGGACATTAATGAATGTTTTTCTTCAACTAAGTATAGTGTCATGTACCCTGAATTTGAGAGTTCATCAGACAGATCCGGTACATTTAGTTTGTGGCCAAAGGTTCTGAAAGGAATGTTTCCCCCTGATGTGATGGCAGATGCAGGTTTCTTCTACTCAGGTGGGTCTCATCTTCATTAGTTATTGATGTAAAGAGCTCTGAATCGTTGCTGTCGTGCTCCAAACCCCCTAAGCGCGACCGACATTTTTTTATAGGAGAGCTTTTTTTGCCAAAAGGTGGGGTTGTTTGCATGAGGACTTTTTAAATCAACCACTACTCATGGAAAAATATGTTTTCTTCTGAAAACTTTATGCATATGGCAGGGAAATAAGTTGGTCAAGCTGCATGAGCAAGTAGATTGATGTGTGCATCTTATATATCTCTTCATAGAAAGATAATAATACTAAAAATAGGGCATTTTTTACTCACCCTGAGTGCACACGTA